TGTCACTATGTACAATCCCAATCACCATCTCAGTGTGCCCTCAGATGGGGTTGTCTGCCTAAGAAGTCACTTTAGCCTGCTGAGTTATCTGGCTAGCTCACTTTTAGAAATTTTTAGGCAAAAATCATTAAAATCATAAATACTATGCGTATAAATGCACATACACTAATTTATGCTGTCACAAAGTCCTTTAATCCAGGAAAATATTCTTCGTAAATTATTTAAGATTTTTTAAAACCTGTGAAACAGTGAGTCCTCAAATGTTCAATTGCAAAGTAGCATAGATATATCTCTTTTCCCCTGTACATAGATATATCTTTTTCTCCACCCTCCATCTCATGTCCTACTCATCTCACTAATTCCTTTTCATTGAAAAGATTATCCTTTCACAGTGTATATTGTATATTTATTTATATACTCATTTTCAGGTTTTATATACTCATTCAAGTTACCTTAGAGACAATATGATGTTGGCTTATGGGGATCTGATGTATTTCACTTAAGAATATGTTCTTTAGTTACATCCATTTACCAAGAAAAGACTCAAACTCCATTATGCACATACACCACACCTTCTTTATCCAGTGCTCAGCTGAGGGGCATCTGGGCTGCTTCCAAGACTTAGTTATGACAAATAGCACTGCTATAAACATAAGTGCACATATATCACTGTGGTATGATCTTTTCAGTTTTTCTATAAAATTTCCCGGGAGAGGAATGACTGGCTTGCATGGAACACACAGATCAGATAATATAAACAATTAATTTGAAGAAAACACGTGGAATACAGCAGATGTCAAATTTGTATAATTTTGTTTAGTGAAATTTGATATCATTTCTAATTTTTTTAACTTTGTATTCTCTTTAAAAACTAAATTTAAAACAATCAATAAACTCTGACAAATTCAGGCTCCCCTCCAGCATGTGTGTGACATTCATTGATCAGGAGAGGGCTGCACAGAACTGGTCCCCAGGATCACCCAGCAGCAGGGACTCTGTAGCCCACAGCCTCCAACTTCGCCTGCACCTCCAGCTCCCTAGTCTCCACCTGCAGCCCACACAGGAGAGATGGGGCTTTTCTGGCTCTAAGATCCTGTGAGCCAGTTCGAGGAAAAATCTCTTTCCTTCTACTGCAGTTACATGTCCAATTTATGCTGCTGCCCTGGAGAATCAGATCTAATGCAGCCCCTCTTCATAAGTCTGCAAGGACCAGAGCTGTACCAGGAATTATTTAGTATTCCTTTGTAATGCTAATTGTAACAGATACAACTTTCAAGTCATTTCATAGTTTGTTTCTTTACAAGTCTGTTTGGACCTAGTGTGTTTATGTATCTGTCCACTTACTAAAGTGTAGCATGAGTTACTGTTACATAAATGGAAGAAATATTCCACTCAATTTTTTAATATTTGTCCTCCTTTACATTCAACTTGCTCAAAATAAAAAAATTAAGTGAAAGCCAGGATGTTGGTTACTTCGCAAACAAATTTTATTTTGGTTGGAATATACTTTTATTTAACAAACATTCAAAAATAATTTACATTTTTATGCCGCTGACACACTAACAGTCTCATTAACGCAGTCTCATAATATTTGTTTATATAAATTAATCTATTTCTAAAATTGCATTCTTACACCTTGCCTTTTGACAGAAGACATTTTATCATACATGGGTGTGATCGAATCCAATATTTACTTGTGTGTGTATTTAATTATTTCATCTGAAACATCACATAACATAGTTTCATTCATATTTTAGGTTGAACAGTACAATTTTTGAAAAAATAAATGAATAAATAACATTTTTTCCATTACTCTTACATAGATAGTGTCATAGTTCCTACACATACTTCTGTAGCAACTACATATAAAGTGTAAAATGAATGCATTTGAGACTACTCTGGGCTATATATATATATATATATATATATATATATATATATATGCTATCTCCCTCTATCTGTAACACTTAGAAGTTTATTTCTAACACTACTGATACATTTTATTACTCTAAGAAATCTACATTAGGGGCCAGCGAGATGGCTCAGTGGAATAAGCACTTCCCTAGCAAACGACTGAGTTCAATCCCCAGTTGTGGAAAAAAAAAAAAAAACTACATTAAATTGAAATCATGTCTTCTTTCATTATTTGATCATAATAATATTTAGGAAAAAAATTAGAATTGTTTAATTTATAATCTAAATCAAAGATTTAAGAAAGGCTTCTCACAAGAGTCTCGCAGACATGATATTGTGCTTACTGTTTTCCCATGGATTTTGGTTTCTTTTTCTATCATTGTTTACGTGTTTCATTTCATTACAGGTTTTTCATATCACTCCAACCATTTCATATACACAGAGATTTATCACTGCATATGAGGGTGTTTTTTGTCTGTTCCCTAATATAGAAGGAGAAATAGAAGGCATGGAGAATAAAGGAATCAGTTTATGATAAGTACATACACCTACATTCTAAAATAGAAATAATCATTATGAACTGCTAACATATAAATACAATTTTATTAAACATTAGAAACGTGTTTTCTTGTGAGTATTTAACAGTAAATATATCATTTATGACACAATTACTATTATGTAATTATAAAATGATTATTTAGGTAATATTTGTTATCAAATATCTGACAGATGCTAATTCTCTCTGAGACACTGTATGTGACTACTTCTTGGGGGTTTCTGTGGAACTATTTTCTATTTATATTAAGATTAATCAGATTTTATTTTATTGTGGAATTGATTACTAAGATCATTGGGAGTTTTGTATAATTTGATATGGATTTTTTAACATTTTATTTTAGGTGCCGATAATCAAAATCAGAGCCTTTGCTTGAGAGGCAGACGCCATGCCCCTGAGCTAAACTATATTCATGGCTGCTAGTATTTCTTTAAGTATCTATTTAACTGTATTTATTTAAATTCAATACTATTATGTCAGTCAGAGGAGAAATCTGATGGTTGAATCCCTTGAAATCCACTGATGCTTTTAAGTAAATTGGCTACATTTAACAAATCTACATGATTTATATTATATAATTTTGATTTTTGTGATGAGAAAATACATAATCTCCTTTGCTAGTCACCTTTCAAGAACAAAGCAAGTGACTGCTGAGCTCAGTCACCAGACTGCAGTGTGCATTTGCAGGAAGCTGTGAAATGCAGATCTAAGTGACCCAGGGCTGAAACCCACTGTCATCTAAGCTCTGATCCTATTCAGGAACATTTCAGGCAGAACCAAAGAAAAATTTCTCAGAATAAAATGAAATAAATATTTAATATTTATTTATGCACCCATAAATATTTTAATATGATTTATAGGAAAATGTATATTTATACAACTGTATCATATGCATCGTTTAGAAATAGTTAAACTCAAACATAGACCAAAGAAAATCCTGGGGACGTAAGGGCAATATGACTCTTAATCCCTGTCAGTGGTAATGTAAAATGGTCCTTTCAGTGGAAAACTCTTTGGGAACTTCTTATGCATGTGCAGATAACAATGCCCAGAAAACATGAGGTGTTCACACACTGACCTGAGCATTGTACTCTCATGCACCTTCCGAGGATGCTTACGTCAGCTTCATCTCCTCCAGGTCTGCCTCATGGATGAAGACTGCTCATAGGCACAGCTGGGACTTCTACATAAGGCTTCTGAAAAGGAAGCATTTAAACGTCAACATTAGCCAACCATGGAGGCCCAGGAGATTTCTCAGGAAAGAGCTCAACAGCCAGCCTGGACTCCTCCCAGGTGCTCTGCATTTACACTCTTCTGTCAGGGTCTGCACCCCTTGCCTACCTAAATGGTCACCTACTACTCAAAGGAACCACAGGGCTCTCCTGGTGATCACCTGCATGATTTGGACACACATGAAGCATGTGGCAAAAACACATCATTCACCATTTATGCAAACCACACAATGCACAGCCCAAGGACTCAATGCTTTTTAGCACTGTGACTATGGGAAGTGGTGGTGTCCCACTGTGTGTCCAACAGCTGGGACATAGAGGGACTGCAGGACCGGGTGCTGGAAGAGTGACAGGATGTACATTTAAGCTGCAAAGTAGTTCCTGGGAAATCTCTCTACAGTGAAAATAATGATGTCATATTCATGAATACTAATAGCCAGAAATGTCAGTAACATTGCAGCCATTTTGTACAAAGAGAGCAATGTGATGTGTTTGTGAACCATTGTTCATATATTTCTGCAATTGTTTTGAAATTAGATAAAATCTCAGTTGATGAATGCTTGTGTTCCTGATCAATTCGGTTTGCAGGCAGAAGTGTTCTACAAAATTTTGCTTCAATGGATGAACTCCACATTGTACGAAAAAAGAAAACATAACTCATCTTCTCCATGAACAGGAGAAAGCACATGTTTCCCTGAATTGTGGAACAAATTTATTTCATGAACTGACAAACTACTTTGCATTCTCATATATATGTTCCGGTAATGACTTATGTCTGCCTTGTGATAGAAAGATTTCTTTAATCCCTGTATTGTACATAGATGGTGTGTTCGTTATTTTCTTATTGAGAGGACAAAATATATGAAAACCAAAGTGAAAGAGAGAAAGATTCATTTAGCTTGGAGTTGATGGATGTCTCAGTTCACAGTTGGCTGGCTCAATGCAGCATAAAGAGGAACACCACTGGCTCAATGAAACATGGGAGAGGAAAACGCATTGAAGTGGTGGAAGGTAACAAAATCAATGAGAGAGGACGTGGTGACCCTTGCTGTCCAACATATTGTGTGGCATCTAGATGCTTTAGGACTAGGTAGAGCTCACACTTATATTGCTAGCATTGCACAAGCCAATCAAGAACTCCAGACGTGGCTTCCAAAAGTGTATGCCACGTGATGGGAACATCAGACATCAACTATAACAAAGGGTGTCTGTAGTAGACAATCACATAATTATTCAATTCCATTAGGATGCATGGCAGGGGGAGTTGCCTTTATATCCCCCATTACTTCATCAAATTTCTAAGCACACTCAGTCTCCTCATCTCTGTCATATCGTCCTGTCTGCTGTTCCTCCCTCGGAGTTTCTGACACAAGCAGGATGTGGGTCACCACACTGTGCCTTGCACAGTAATACACTGCTGAGTCTTCAGACTTTAAGCCACTCAGCTGCATGTAGGCTGTGTTGGAGGATGTGTCAGCAGTGAAGGTGGTCCTGCCCTGGAACTTCTGAGCATAATTAGTATTGCCATTCTCTGGATTGATGCTTCCGATCCACTCCAGCCCCTGTCCAGGAATCTGTCGCACCCAGTTCATGTAGTAATCTATAAAGGTGTAGCCAGAAGCCTTGCAGGAGACCTTCACTGAGGTACCGGGCCTCCTCAGCTCAGCCCCAGACTGCACCAGCTGGACCTCGCCTTGGGCACCTAAGGAGAGAAAGGCGAATTTGAGTGCAGTGCCCAGCGAGAGCTCTGGTTGCTTCCTCAAGACCACAAGAAGTATATCTTACTTTTTACAGCTGCCATCAAGAAGAGGATTCCCCAGGTCCAGTCCATTGTGAGGATCTACAATGCTCTAGGGGATTTTACAGAAGACAGAGATGGCTGCAGAATGTTCTGGTCCATAGACCATCCATATTTACCTCAGCACTCTCTGATTATTTGCATATTCTTTAGGCTGGAGACTACTTAGTGCAAGATTTGTTCCTATATAAGCAGAGAGTTATGGTTCATGAGAAATTCAGCACTGAGATGCTGGGATTCATGAACTTATCCTGTCTGAGGAAATACATCTGCCACTCCTTAAATTTTGTGCATATAGACTTCCTCTCACTGAGAATCAAGCCACCACAGGAAGACTCTGTTCTCTGAATCCAACATTGAATGGCCCATAAACTATCTAAGCTTCTTCGTGCCAATCAGTGTCCTTGGTGGTATATAGCTATATTGATCTCTGCCTAATTGTATGAAGTATCAATAGAACCCAGTGTTGTCTCCTACGTAGGAACGTTGCCCATTGCACACATGTACTCAGAAAGCACCCTGAATCCCTCCGATTTTATTCTACCCCCTAGGATGGTTTCCCGAGGACCAACCTGGATTGATTATGTCCATTCTATTCTACAGAAAGGGCCTTATTGCTAAGACCAGCCCCATAATGTACAATAAGAGGCTGGCTTTCTGATGCCATCAAGGTTGGGACTTGAATGTGAACCTCATTAACTCACTTACCTAAATCTATCTATCAATCTATCTATCTATCTATATATCTATCTATCTATCTTTCTTTCTTTCTTTTTTTCTTTCTGTCTGTCAGTCTATCTTTCTTTATTTTTCTTGGAGGAACTGAGAATTCAACTCAGGCTCTTGCACTTACCAGGGAAGTGCTTACTCTACTGATCCATCTCCCTGACCCTCAGTTTTCTAAATCTTGTGAAAGAGTTTGTGTTGATTTTATTTGGGTCTCATTCACAACACAACAAAGCAGAGTTTTGGAGTTTCCAAAGAGTTTGTTTTTTCCTCCTATTGATTTGTCTTAATGGTCCATGTACCTGTCACATGATCTGACCCTCCACAACCCTACCACACACTCATTTGTGGTTTCCACACCAAGTCCTGATGGTGAAGATTGTACTCTTTGTGTCTGCCAACATGCTGCACTATTTCAGATTAAGAGTATCCTTTCTGTCTTCCAGCCTCTCACTGTTCAGATATGAGAATTTCTTGAACACCACATTTGAACCTATATTTGAGTGATTGAATTTAAAAAGTCATTCAGTGAAATAGCTCTTAAAGTGTGTATTCACTATGAACTTCCAATTTTGGTTGATTTGTTGAATGGGGAGAACTCAAGCCTCAGAGCAACGTGCTCAAACTTCTACACCTGCTCCCAAATTGCAACAGTGCACAGTGGATCCAGTGCACAAGTAACTTTGCCCTAGCCTCAGACAGGTCCCTCTCTGGGCCATGGGTAATTTTCTGCAGTGACTCCAGCTCAGAGAATTATTCAATAGGATACTAAGGCTCTTTCAGGAAAACCCTGATCTTCTAACCTGTGTCCTAGAGAAGGGGACACTCTTACTGGCCCAGCTATGATGCATAGAGACATGAGCTGAGGGTGAGGAAACAAGATGGAGCTTCCCTGCAGGAGGCCTGATTATTCCTATGTGCGAACCTAGCCAGGGGATCTGTAGGCAACAAGGGCAGCTCAATCCTACTCCCCATTATAGCCCCATGAGAACGCAGCATAAACCATGGGCAGATGTTGTGTACACGTCTCCTCTGGTCTTACGTTGTTAAGACATAGAGGAATTCACACAAAGTCTGATAGGAAACCCTCTTTCCACACCTTCCTTCTCTGCACCTGCTCCCAGGACATTTCTGGGCTCCGTGGATTCTTAGCGCCCTCTGCTGGTGCAAAACCCAGGAAAGAGGTTTCCGTGTGGCCTCCACACAGTCCTCTCACAATTTCTCTGGCCTGGAAATATCCAAACATGTTATCAGTTCTCATCATAATAATTTGTAGATAGAGTGTGTTCTTGGTCTTCTCGGAGGACATGATCAATTGACCCTTTATGGAGGCTGCATAATATGTGCTAATCCCACCGGTTACTCATTAGCAAGACACAGTCTTTTCCTCCTTGAAGCCTGGCAGAAGCAGAACTCACCATCAGTACTGAAGAGAATCTGGAGACTCATTGTCTGCAAAGGAGTGCTCAGGACCGTGCGGGCAGCAGCAGGGCACCCCACGCTAGCTGCTGTGCCTCACACAGAACACCTGCAAACACAGTCATCCTCCTCAAGACATCACATAGTTCCACTGTTTATCCCACTCATGCACAAGTACGTATTCAATATATCATGTTCTCCATAAACTACAGTTAAAAATGAAAACCAAACCCAGTCTAAACTATTTGTTTCTTTTTTAAAATTTATTTATTTATTGTGTGTGTGTGTGTGTGTGTGTGTGTGTGTGTGTGTGTGTGGCCAGCTTTGCCCACCAGGGGGTGGGGCTGGCTGGCATGTGGTGCTGGGGATTGAACCTCCGTCGCTGTGCTTTTGCTTAGCTAAGCTTGTTCTAAGTACGTGCTTTAGACCACTGAGCCATCTCACCAACCGCAGTCTAAACTATTTGTATTTGATTTCAATAATAGCCACTGAGTTGGATCACCAGTGCCCTGATAGCACAGGGAAGTCCTATCGACATGTCAGTGTGCTATACAGGCAGTTCTGGAGATAGATGTTTCAGAGTAGTCATCACTCTAGTAAGTATAACCATGCTCGGGAAGCTTAGCAATAATGGAAGCATTGGGGCCGGGGAGATGGCTCAGTAGAAAAAGCACTTCCCTGGCATACACAAGGGCCTGAGTTCAATCCCCAGTTCAAAAAAATGGAAGCATTCCAGAAAATTTTGTCAGTCTTCAGGTGATAGTGTCTTGAGGATGTATCTCCTCAAATTTCACATTTATGCACAGACGGAAGTAATGAGTTTTCTGTATTAATAATGCTTGCTTATAGGCAGGTAAGATTGTGAAAATGTCTGAATGAGTTGTGTCTCTATGTAGGATTCTGTGTCCTGAGGATGTTGTATTCATTTCCTGGGCCTGTTTTCCCTTATGCTGTGAACACACTGCTTCCTGATCCTCTACCTCCAGGGAAAGGGTCGCTCCTGGAGAGCTTGGATCTCTTCCCTTCTTTCAGGGTCACTGAGTGTGGCGTTTCTGCATTCTGATGTTTGGTGAAGGAATCAGATTCAGTGTTGACACCAACAAGGTCGGGGACTCTCATTAGATACTGGTGTTGTCTCTGTCTCTTTCTGTCCATTAGATTTCTATTTTCATATATATTAGAAAAATTTCAGTTTCAATTTTTATTAGATTTTGCACTATTCAGTGTTTACATCCAATTGAGGCATTTGTTATGTGTATATAACGTACTTAACTTTTTGTCAATTATCTTCCCTTCTCTCCCCATTTCCTCCATTTCTTTGGACCTTTCCCTATTATGAAATAATAAGGATCTTATTTACTATATGTATTGTCATCTCTATTTGGCTTCTTGGATAACACATATCATGTGATAGGTAAACTATTGCATCTGATTTATTTTACATGTATAAAGGGATAATTCTCCTGGCTATTTCTTGGACAGAACAAAATATATGTATTGGGCTGTCAGGATAGTTCAGCAGAATAAGTTCCTGCTTAGTCAAACATAGAGGCTGGGGTTTGATCACCTGCACCATATGCCATGGCAGCCCTGACAACAGGTGCACTGAGCTGTCTATCTATGTATCTATGAATATACATTATCTATAATAAGAATGTACATATTTTCTATAATACATTGAGGATATAAAATGCTAGGTTCCCAAATTAAAAGACACAATCAAAAATTGGGTACAAGAAATGAATAGCCAGTAATTAGGCAATTTACAATTGGAAAACAAGTTTATGAATTAAATGAACATAAGATAAAATTATTCATTCAACACATTACTCATCTGGGATACTTCTGTAAAATATAATTCTGAAGTTATAGTTATTATAACCTATTAGAAATTTCAATATTGAGGATAGAAATATAGCTCATGTATAGCAGCAATGAAGACATATAAACATATTAAGAAAGGCAATAACTAAAGATACAGAAGAAGACAAAATAGAAAATACAATTAAAATAATTCTGAAAATACTCTATTGAATTGTTTGAAAGACATTTCAGTGCATATGCTAATGTACTTCATCCGCACTACTGATTTATTTTACTTTACTGAAAAAGAAATTTTTCTGCTAGTACATGTTTATTTATTTTAGCAAAGGAGACTAACTTTGTCTATGAACTCCACTCTCAATAACATCTGTGAGTTTCTAATAGTAAGAAAAATCATTCATTAAGTTATTGGCTAAATACTTTGTGCGAAAAACTTGTTATTTTGTCTTATGAATTCAAGGAATGATCTTCACATTCCTTTAATACTATCTACATGAATTACATTAAAATCTAAAGAAACAGAAACAAAACAACAAAACGGATATCCCCAAGCCTATAGGTTTACCTCAGCACTGCAGAATCTAAGTTACAAGCATGTTCTCTCAGGCTTTCAGAGAGCACACTGGCTGAGCAATGTCTGTGACTCATCCACATGGCTGACATGACAAAGGTTCTACAATCTGAGGTACAGGATCTCAGGATAAATCCTGAGTGGATTTCACTGACCTTATCAGACCCAAAAGCTACAACTCTTGTTGCATAGGTCCTGCTTTACCTTGGTCTTAACCATCCAGCAGAAAACTATAAAAACAAAGTATAAGAAGTAAAGCTTTGGTGTTAGGTTGAGCTGGAGGTGACCCAGGTCAACAATTTCTGACATTGCCAGTCAAGCAGAAGACCAATATACTATTATGGACTACTGAACTCCTTTAGAATATTTTGCTGAGTTAACACACCTATAATATTCAAAGAGTGGAACTAAACAAATAAGGGGATACAGATGAATGTCCATTTTGTATCTTTGTATTCAAAATGGTTAGGATAGATATATATAGTTACATTCTCTGAATGAATAGAGGCATTTGATCTAATAGTGTTTGTAAATAGG